CCTCGGCCTCCCAGAGTGCTAGGATTACAGGCGTGAGCCACCACGCCCGGCCCAGAATCACTTTTAAGACTATGTAACAGCTCCCACATAACTTCTTTATCTTAATTTCTGGATTGTTAGGAGATCTTCTTCTTATATTTCTTATCTGGACCCAAGATCTACAAGTTCAATAGTTTCATGCAAGACTGAGAAATCAATCACTACTGAGTACAGTGCCTGTAACTCCTTGCCCAGAAGTTCATGCTACATAAACGATACTAAATAATCTCTTCTGAGGTATGACCAGTTTCACTGTTACCTAAAGCACATTATGTGCTGATGATACAACAGTTTATATGGGAATATTAAGAGTCACAACCATACTTACTTCACCATCTTTGGCAAGCTTTCTACCACACCTCATGCTATTTCCCTCTAGTTCTTCTTTATTGATTTCTTGAGGCCTAAAATATAAACATAAGACATGAACCCTCACAGAAAATGGTCAACTAGTAATTAAAAAGAACCAGGGAGTTAAAAAGAACAGAAAATCTTGCTATTAGATTTAAAAATAAAATTTTGTGTTCAACCAGTGCACAAAGAAAAAAAAATTTTGTGGTCTAGATAAAAATAATGCATTGATTAAATCGAATCCATTGCCTTTGCTAAATAAAAGAGTTTAAATCTTCTGTGTTTTCTTATTGCCTTCACTTCTAGATTACTTTTATTAGAGCTTAACCAAACCAAAGAGGGAGGGGAAAAAAAACTGAGAAATTCTGCTCACCAAAAAAATAAAATACTTGAAAGTCTAACTACTAAGAAATTAAAATCTATTATTTCTATAAAATGTGATTTGATACCACCTACTACTTAATATTACTTGTTTCACATGCAAACCATTTTTCATGTATTAGACCATTAACTATGAAATGTCCGATTTAGAATCAAAAGTTTAGTTTATTATATCTCAAACAGGAAGCAGTACAATTAGTCAAAGTATGTGCCTAAACTATCGACAGTTTTGCCATCTTAACTGTAGCGTATTTACACCAGCAGTGAAGAAGCCTAGAGAACAAGTGCTGATGAAATCGCAAAAGGTGTTTTCCACGGCTTGTTCAGAATTAAATATATTTCTTTACAATAAGTGGTCCAAAGCCTGGAAGAAGTGGTAGTCAGTGAAAGGTCTGGTGAATACGGTGGATGACAGAGAGTTTCCAAGTTCAGTCCCTGTAGTTTGAGCGGCATTGTTTGTGCAACATGTGGTAGAACGTTGTCTTGCAAGAGGATTGGCCTGTCTCTATTGACCAATCTCGGCTGCTTAACTGCAAGCACCTTCATCATTTCGTCTAATCGGTTGCAGTAGACATCTACTGTAATTGACTGACCAGGTTTCATGAAGCTGTAGTGGATAATATCAGTGCTGGACCACCAAACAGACACCATTAACTTTTTTTGACGAATATTCAGTTTTGGACTGTGTTTTGGCACTTCATCTTTATCCAACCAGTCAAACACTTGCGATTGTCAAAAAAAATCCATTATTCATCACGCGTAACCATATGGTGTAGAAATGGATCACCTTTATGTCACGACAGCAAAGAAAGGCAAGCTTTGAGACGATTTCTCTTCTGAAGCTCGTTTAATTCATGTGGTACCCATCTATCCAGCTTCTTTACCTTGCCGATTTGTTTCAAATGGGCCAATATTGTTGGAACAGTAACGTCAAATTTTGCTGCTAATTTATGCGTAGGTTGAGATGGATTCACTTCCACTACAGCTTTCAGCTCATCATTACACACCTTGGTCTCAAGTTGCCCATGTGGCTCATTTTCAAGATTAAAATCACCAGAACGGAACTTCTCAAACCATCGTTGTACTGTGATTTCATTAGCCACATTCTTCCCAAACACTTCATCAATATTTCGAGCTGTCTGCGCTGCATTGGTTCCACGATAGAACTCATATTTAAAAATAACATGAATTTTTGACTTATCCATGGTTTCACAAAAATTGCTCTAAGAAATTTTTGAAAGATACTCACAAGCCAAACAGTGCATTTGAAAGAATGAGTATGTACCAATAAAAACAAGAAGTGTCAAAGTGAAATGTCAGCGATATCAACTGTCTAACTTAGTACTTAAGGAAATCAGACATTTCATACTTAATAACCTAATAGTATAACTACACAAAATCAATATATTTTTCTTTTTTTTTTTAAACAGACTCTCACTCTGTTGCCCGGGCTGGAGTGCCATGGCATCAGCCTAGCTCGCAGCAACCTCAAACTCCTGGGCTCAAGCAATCCTTCTGCCTCAGCCTCCCGAGTAGCTGGGATTACAGGCATGTGCCACCATGCCC